TGGCTTCTGCAAAATCCTAGGTACCTGATCATGGGCAAGTGGGAAACTAGCCAGTGTAGTTAGGGTCATACTAGAATCTGAGAGAGTCAGTTTTGAATCCCCTCTCTGGCTTGGAAGTTTGCTGGGTAACCTTGGGCCAGTCACACACTCTCAGTGTAACCTACTTCTCCAGTTTATTGTGAAGGTAAAATGGTAAAATGGAGAAGAGAACGATATAAACTGCTCTGGGTTCCATTAGGGAGAAAGGCAGGAAATAAAGTAAATAAATACATAAGTAAAACTAACACAGTTGCTTGAAATGGCTTGAGTTGCTTATCTTTTATCACACAGTCATGTTTTGTGATGTGCGACTGTTTTTAGGTCTCATAAAATCAGCTCCACCCTGATCTAGATACCCCAAAGTAGCTTGATCGTGTCAGATCTCAAGCTAAGCAGAAGCAGGTTAGTACTTGGGAGAATTCTAGGGTTACCAAGGAATTCTAGGGTTACTTCACAGAGGCAGGCAATGGCAAACCACCTCTGAATGTCTAAACTATGGGGTCGTAATAAGTCAGCTGTGGCTTGATGGCAAAAAATGAAAAATTCCAAGAAAACATAATTTCAGAGGGTAGCTATGTTGGTCTGCAGTAGAACAGCTAGATTCAAGTCCAGTAGCACCTTAAAGGTAAAAGGTAAAGGTCCCCTTGCTCGAAAGCCAGTTGAATCTGACTCTAGGGTTGCGGTGCTCATCTTCATTTCAAAGCCGAAGAGCCAGCGCTGTCCGAAGACGTTTCCGTGGTCATGTGGCCGGCATGACTAAACACCAAGGCGCACGGAACGCTGTTAACTTCCTACCAAAGTGGTACCTATTTATCTACTTGCAATTTCTTGCTTTCGAACTGCTAGGTTGGCAGGAGCTGGAACTAGAGATGGGAGCTCACTCCGACATGCGGCACACTCGGGTAGCACCATAGAGACTGACAAAATGTTCATGGTATAAGCTTTTGAGAGTCAAAATTTCCTTTATCATAAAACATGCAGCTTCCAGGTTGAACAAATGGAGAGGTCCTTACTGGTCTATCTATATTCAGGGGAAGAATTAATGAACCTGACTGCAGCCCAAGCCAAGAGACGAGACAAGGAAGGCATTCTTCTGGGACAGGTGGCTATTCAAAAATTGGACTCTGGCTTCTTGCCCGGCAACATCGGGGCTGGCCATCTGATTGCATCAGCAGCCACCACCCTATTGTGCACAGAGTATCCTTGGGAAGGAGCATTTACAAATGCACCATGTCAGTTCTCCCTGTGGCTATATAAATAGCCACTATTGGATGCCTCCTCCTGCTTTTTCTTTGGATCTCTCCCACGCACACTTCCTTATGTTAAATATGTTGATTTGTGCTTTATATTTTGTCACAGCTTCAGCAGGTTGGGCATTTTGTGGAGGCTGGGCCCGTGTACTCACCTCCTCTGGTTAGGGACCCCCTTAGCCTTTAGTGATCTTGGGGGTTAAGCTGTCACACAGCCAGTGTTCCCTCTAAGCTGTGGAGTCTTGTGAGCAAAAAATCTACTTTGTGAGCTACTGGCATTAAAGTTGTGAGCAAGCAATTTGGCTACTGTATAAATTAGTTTGCTCTTGAGCCATCCTTCCTGAGCTAAGCCAAAAATGTGTGAGCCGGAGGCTAAAAAACTGTGAGCTAGCTCACACTAACTTAGCTTAGAGGGAACACTGCACACAGCATGCTTGGATCGGGGCTGTTGTCTGGATTTCACCACCAGGTAGCAAGGGGATCCACTCAGCGGCTGGAGCCCAGGTGGTCCCCTCTGGTATTGCCACTCCATGGTTCCCCCCAGCAGGCGGGATGGGGGGGGGGATGCGGTTTGTCTGGCAACAGGTGGGTTGTCCGATCCTGGATCCGTCCCTATGCTGCACCAATGCTCCTTGGTTTCTAGCTAATAAAGCTGTGGCCATTTCTTCTCCAGAATGTCTGGTTGTGCTTTCCTTCCACATGCTCTCTCCTTTATAGGCTGTGGGCCCGCAATGGGGCTATGGTCCCTGGTTCAATCCCCGGCATCTCCAGGTAAAAGGCTCAAGTAGCAGGTAATGTCAAAGACCTCCCCTGGAGACCCTGGAGAGCTGCTGTCAGTCAGAATTGACATTACTGCCCTTGATAGACCAATGGTCCAACAGAGCAGCCCTGGTCACCAGTTGCTATGAAGTATACAATCTATGTACCGTGTACACTCGACTTGTCTTTATACATGCCTTGAGTAATGATTATATTACATTCAACATATGTGCAGCTGAATGTGTGTCTGAAACACCACGTTTATCCAGATACTAGTACCCGGTTTCATTAGTCAAGTGAACGCGTGTTGGCTCTTTGTCACAAGCAGATGTGTGCACATACATTCAGGTTGTACTTGCATTCACTGTAACATAGGGGCAGGGCAAGTACAAGGCAGCTTCATGTGCTGAAACGTAGCATCTGCATGATATGAGATGCTTTCACAAGTAGATGTGTTTTGTTTTGTAGTAGAATGTACTCATGTGAACATTTATACACACAAATGTTGTGTGTAACAAGGGCGAGAACATAAGCTTGTTTCTTGCTCCTGCACCCTGCAGACACGTGAATGGGGCTGAAATGTGAACGGGGGACTTAGAAACAGAGCCATTCCTGACTCTGGAATACCATTTGGGGTGATACAGCTGCAGAACATGCTCGCAGCTTGAAAAACATTTGTGCCACGTTTCACGCAATAACCGTATTTTCTAAAAATAAATGTCCTCTTTTGGAAAATAGGAATATGTGAAGCATTCCTTTGATGTCGAAAAAAATAAACCAGTCCAACCGTGAGGGGGCTTTTCTCCTGTCAGTTCTCTTTGTGGATGAAGGAAAGGCTACAAAATGGAACTTCCAGGACTCTCATAATATAGGTAAATGTCGCAATCACCCTGAAGTACCCTGTCCATGGGGTAATAGACCTCTGATCTCCATTGACTATAACGGTCCCCGTAGCGTATAATGGAGCAAAAAAATATTCAGGTTTTCCAAATATTTCCTGAATCTGAATACCACACTGATATTGGGAGTCAGGAATATTGGGAAAATACCAATATTTGGGGGGTTCAATATACCTGAACCCCCCAAAATACTAGGGGTTTTTTGTACTCCCCGGTGATCTCTACACTTCATTGGATATCGCACTGTTGTAACTATGAATGAGTACCATAGCACCATCCCCAACAATGTACAAATCCTACCATAGATAACCCGTAAACCATATACAGAGAAACAGTTTTAGCACTTGGCAAAGACGTGCTTGGCAGAAGGGTAAACAGTTGGCTTCGCATAATACAGTGATTCAATGCTATGTAAAAGGGGCATCATGGTCTATGTGCACTTCTAGCTGGGAAAGATCGGTGTGTGTATATATTTCCAGAGCAGACTCCAGAAAACGTCTCATACAATGCTTTGTCCTTGCGAGGAGACAGGTACAGATAGTTGTCATCAAAAATACCTGATGTGGTTATCTGTGGCAGTGATAATTGTCCCAATTATCTCAGTGGGATCACTTATCAAGCATAGCCATGGGCAGGGTGGCCATGTTTCCAGTGCTCCAGTGGCTAGAGGGAGCATTCTTCTTTTTAAAAATCACTGTGTTGTGTCACTTCTGGGGAAAACCTGGATGTGATTTCAGTCCAGTCCAGTCCAGTCTAGAGCAGCAACAGCATGCTGTTGCCCGACTATGCCACTCCTCATGTCCCTGGCCCTCCAGACTGCCACTGGTTGCCAGATCAGACCTGGAAATCCTAGCAGGAGCTCAGATCAAGTCTCAGCCATAATAAAGCAAAAGGAGCCACCTCATGGAAGAAACCCATGTTTCTCCCTCATGGCGGGACAGTTTTCTCCAGGTGATGCAACTAATTGTCTGAAAAGCAGACTGGCTCCCATTAACTGATAAGGACTAAGGCCATAAGGACAAAGGGACTGGTTCTGACTTCCTTAAATTGTAAACCTTCCCTTCAAAGGCAAAAAGTTAATGAACCCTTTGTCGCCAATATGATTGGATGGTTGTTACTGGAGGAGAAGAAAATGGCCAAGGGGGATGGAGATATAATTGCTGAATGCTGGTGGGATATTGAACTCATCTATCAGCGTTCCATCGGGTTAGACAGTGTCATCGATGCAACGAACATGAAATTGAGCCAACTTCAGAGGATGGCGGAAGACAGGAGGGCCTGGCGGGAGATGATCCATGGGGTCGCGAAGAGTCGGACTCGACTGTGCGACTGAACAACAACAACAACAACCACCTTTGAAGGCTCCACAAGCGTCACAAATACCTCCTGGTCTGTTTCCTGCTTGTGTTTGGCTTTTGGAAGACTTTCCAGCTACATCAGCTTGAATCTTCGTAAACTATCTTAATAAATAAGCTACACTAGACCACCAATATGTAATTGGTGCTTGTGCAGATTAATAACCACTCTAATTCATCCCACCTTTTGAGAAAATTGTTAAACTGTAACATTTCTATTTAATGAACAATAGCTTGTTTATAGGAAAGTGTCTGGGTAACACTGTGATCTGAAGTATCCACATAACTATCATTGCCTGTATTGCTTTCAGTGCCACGCAAGTGCATAGCAACATTATAGTGTCCTCATGATCAGTTGAGCAGTACATTCCTGTCTGCTCTGATCCAGTGGTCTTTAAGATTCTCCTCCCAAAGCTGCCTCCACCTTTACCCTTATATATCTGCAAAGAAAAGGGCTATGGATACCCTGTGTTATTGTCTTTAATGAAAGCTGGAAATCAGAGGGATGAGTAGACTATGGCAATAGATTGTACAAATTTGTTGTACTATAGCACAATAGAAATTGCTGTTTAAAAAACAAACAAAAACCCTGTGGTGGTGTGACAAGGAAAATGGTGGCTGCGAGGGGGCTAATGGAACAAAAATGTTACAATGTAGCTGAAACCTTCAACAATTTTCGCCTTCCTGAACTTCTTGGAGGGGTCATGGCTCAGTGGTAGAGCATCTGCTTAGGATGCAGAAGGCCCCAGGTTCAATCCCTGGCACCTCCAGTTTTTTAAAAACTGGCAGTAGGTGATGTGAAAGACGTCTGCATAAGATCTGGGAGAGCTGCTGCCAGTCTGAGTAGACAATACGGACCATGATGGACCAAAGGTCTGATTTAGGATAAGGCAGTTTCATGCATAGTGTAATGGTTAAGAGTGGAGGACTCTAATCTGGAGAACCAGGTTTGATCCCCCACTCTTCCACATGAAGCCACCTGGGTGACCATGGGCCAGAACTCAGCCCCAGTTACCTCACAAGGAGGTAACTGTGGGGAGAGGAAGGGAAGGTGATTGTAAGCTGCTTGGAGACTCCTTAGAGAAAAGCAGAGTATAAAAACCAACTCTTCTTCCTGTCCAAATGGTGTGTAAACAGGCTTGGATTGCATTCTTTCAGGAAGGATTGTAGTAAAGCAGGTTTGGGAAATATCGAAGCAAAGCCGGGGAAAATCTGGAAACTGGACTAGAAAATGATGTTGTGTATAAACAACATCAAAAAGCGTTCCAGTCTGGAAGCAAAGGTCAAGCAAAATGTATGCATGAAAGCAGTGAGAACCTTCAGTTGGAGATGCTGAGAAGAGAACCAGAGCCACATGGTAAAGCAGGTGGCCTGCTACTGAGCTACAGTGCTCGAGTCATGCAGGAGTGACTGTCAGAAGGGCACAGAGGCAGGTTGCCTTCCAGAAGCCCAGCCTGTGGTCAAGAGAGGACGACCTCACTGTAAAACTAAAAGCTTCAGAGGTCTTCACTAGCCATTTCGATTCTCCAGTCTTCAAACAAATTAGGCAGGGCCCCGAGCTCTAAATAGGAGCATTCAACATGTTCTTCCACCTAAACCTCCCCTTCCGCAGGCCATTTTTCATCTCTCTGCTTTCCTTCTCACGTTCCCTTTTGTGTGGAACCCTCTCACTTTAGAGATCTAGAGAGCATTCCTTGGAAGGTCTACGCAGATTCCTAAGTGGGGCTCACTCCCAGGGAAGCACTCTTAGGATGGCATCGGAACCTGGCTTCTTTTTAGTCCTGCTTAAAGAAAGAATTTTTTAAAAAACCCACTCTGTTGTTGTTGTGCAGTTTAAAAATGATTTGGTGCTTCTTTCTCGATGTTCCATTCAATTGCTTTGATTCTTGTTTTCTGTGCTTTTTTCCCCTCTTCCTTCCTTTCTGGAGAACCAGGTTTGATCCCCCACTCTTCCACATGAAGCCACCTGGGTGACCATGGGCCAGTTACAGTTCTCTCAGAACTCAGCCCCAGTTACCTCACAAGGAGGTGCCTGCTGTGGGGAGAGGAAGGGAAGGTGATTGTAAGCTGCTTGGAGACTCCTTAGAGAAAAGCAGAGTATAAAAACCAACTCTTCTTCCTGTCCAAATGGTGTATAAACAGGCTTGAATTGCATTCTTTTAGGAAAGATTGTAGTAAAGCAGGTTTGGGAAAGATAGAAGCAAAAGCAGGCGAAAATCTGGAAACTGGACTAGAAAATGATGTTGTGTATAAACAACATCAAAAAGTGTTCCAGTCTGGAAGCAAAGGTCAAGCAAGATGTATGCATGAAATCAGTGAGAACCTTCAGTTGGAGATGCCGAGAAGAGAACCAGAGCCACATGGTAAAGCAGGTGGCCTGCTACTGAGCTACAGTGCTCGAGTCATGCAGGAGTGACTGTCAGAAGGGCGCAGAGGCAGGTTGCCTTCCAGAAGCCCAGCCTGTGGTCAAGAGAGGACAACCTTACTGTAAAACTAAAAGCTTCAGAGGTCTTCACTAGCCATTTCGATTCTCCAGTCTTCAAACAAATTAGGCAGGGCCCCGAGCTCTAAATAAGAGCATTCAACATGTTCTTCCACCTAAACCTCCCCTTCCGCAGGCCATTTTTCATCTCTCTGCTTTCCTTCTCACGTTCCCTTTTGTGTGGAACCCTCTCACTTTAGAGATCTAGAGAGCATTCCTTGGAAGGTCTACGGGGCTCACTCCCAGGGAAGCACTCTTAGGATGGCATTGGAACCTGGCTTCTTTTTAGTCCTGCTTAAAGAAAGAATTTTTTAAAACCCCACTCTGTTGTTGTTGTGCAGTTTAAAAATGATTTGGTGCTTCTTTCTCGGTGTTCCATTCAATTGCTTTGATTCTTGTTTTCTGTGCTTTTTTTTTTTCTTTCTTCCTTTTGGGATAGAACAAGTAGCTCCGGGGTTCTTTTCTCTCCCCTTTCAAAATGGAGCCCTAGATGTTGTCAGTTTAATCAGATGGCTAGCATGGGGTGGCTGTGGGCTTCTTAGACCCTCCCCCACCACTAAAATCCACTAACCTCCAAATTAATTGTGCTCCATCAGGGAAAACAAAGGGGGCTATGCCCATTTTTTATTCCTGTGTAGGGATGGCATAGCCTAGGCTATTCATTTTATTTGATTTACAGAATTTGTATCTTACCTTAGAAGGGCCACCAAGGTGGTTAGCTCGATCTTGTCAGATCTTGGAAGCTAAGCAGGGTCTGCTGTGGGTCTGGATGGGAGACCACCAAGGAAGTCCCTGGTCACTGTGTTGAGGCAGGCATTGGCACATCTCCTCTGAATGGCTCCTATCTTGAAGCCCCTTGCGGGGTCTCATAACGTGGCTACGACTTGGTGGCACTTTCCAACACCAGGGATGGCAATCTTGCTTGATGCTGGATGTATGGGGAACCCCCTCTTCCACAGTGTGGAATTTATTTGAAATAATAGCTCTGATAGCTTCATTTTAAAAGTGAGGAAGGAAAGAAGAAGGAAGGATCATTTCCCCTTCCTCCAAGTTCCCTCTCCAGTTTGGTGTAGCGGTTAAGTGCGCAGACTCTAAGATAACCGGGTTTGATTCCCTACTCCTCCACTCACAGCTGCTGGATGACCTTGGGCAAGCCACAGTTTTGTCAGAGCTGTTCTTGAAAAGAGCAGTTCTGTCAGAGCTCTCTCAGCCCCACCTGCCTCACAGGGTGTCTTTAGTGGTGAGGGGAAGGGAAAGGAGTTTGTAAGCCACTCTGAGTGAAAGGCGGGGTATAAATGCAGTCTCTTCTTCTTAAGAGCATGGACTCTAATCTGGGAGAATTGGGTTTGATTCCCCCACTCCTCCACTTGCAGCTGCTGGGTGACCTTGGGCAAGCCACAGTTCTCCCAGAGCTGTTCTCTTAAGAGCAGTTCTCAAAGAGCTCTCTCAGCTCCACCTGCCTCACAGGGTGTCTGTTGTAGGGAGGGGAAGGGAAGGAGATTGTAAGCCACTCTGAGACACTGAGGGGTATAAATCCATCCCTCTTCTTCTTCTTCTTCTTCTTCTTCTTCTTCTTCTTCTTCTTCTTCTTCTTCTTCTTCTTCTTCTTCTTCTTCTTCTTCTTCTTCTTCCTCCTCCTCCTCCTCTTGTCTCATACTTTTAGACTGCAAACCTTGCACAGGGAATCTTGCACATTTCATTTATGCCTAGCCTCTTGTGGATGCTTTAATAAGTAATGAATGATAATGATAGAGGATGACAACATGAATTAGTGGCCTCTCCTCCTCCTCCTCCTCTTGTCTCATACTTTTAGACTGCAAACCTTGCACAGGGAATCTTGCACATTTCATTTATGCCTAGCCTCTTGTGGATGCTTTAATAAGTAATGAATGATAATGATAGAGGATGACAACATGAATTAGTGGCCTCATTGGAGTTCTGTTCTCTGCAAATACATTAAAGTGTCTTTTTTTAAACCAAAGAATGGCTCAGTTTTTATGAACAATAACTTGCATGTAGCAATCAAGGTTACTAGCGAGGCTTTTGATGGGAATAAAACGTTCCAAAGTAGAGGTGACCTAATGGAATAAAACTGTGTAAACATGATAGGACAGGCTATGGACAGAGAAGGAAAGGAAGCCTCTGTATGCAGACAAAAACACAACCTGCACAAAATTTGTCAAGGATGTAAAGGATGAAATGTCAGCCAAGGAGGAGAGAACACTTAAGAGAAGGTAATTTATCAGCACAACAGGAAGATGCTTTTAACAAAACAATATGGCTGCAAACAAGTCCACAGCGAGACATTCTTTAGTCTTGATGAAATGTGTGTGTGTGTGTGTGTGTTAAGTGCCATCAACAGAACAAAGTTTGAGTCCGGTGTCACCTTTAAAACCAACAAAGTTTTTCCCCCCATTGCATCTGAAGAAGTGTGCATGTACATGAAAGCTTGTTGGTATTAAAGTTGACACTGGACTCAAACTTTGTCCTGCTGCTTTAGTCCAACATGGCCATCTGCCTGAATCTAAATAACATCAAGTCGCTTCTGGCCTATGGTGACCCTATGACCTCTGGTGACCAGTTTGGTGTATTGGTTAGGAGTGCGGACTCTAATCTGGGAGAACCAGGCTTGATTCCCCACTCCTCCACATGCAGCTGCTGGTGTGACCCTGGGTCAGTCACAAGCTCTGGCACAGCTGTTCTTGAAAAAGAGCAGTTTGTGTCAGAGTTCTCTCAGCCCCACCTACCTCACAGGGTGTCTGTTGTGGGGAGGGGAAGGGGGAAAAAGATTGTAAGATGCTCTGAGACTCCAAGTGAAGGGCGGGGTATCAATCCAGTCTCTTCTTCTTCTTCTCTCTATGAATTATTTACCTCCCAAACACCCTGTCGTTAACAGCCTTCCTCAGGTCTTGCCAACTGAGGGCCGTGGCTTCCTTGATTGAGTCAATCCACCTCATGTTGGGTCTTTCTCTTTTCCTCCTGCCTTCAACTTTTCCTGTCTTGATTGTCTTTTCCAGTGACTCTTATCTTCTCATTATGTGACCAAATATGATAGCCTCATTTTAGTCATTTTAGTCACTTCTAGGGGGTGTTCAGGCTTGATCTAGAGCCTACTTAATGGTCTTTTTGCTGGTCCATGGCAACTCTAAAACTCTCACCCAACACCGTATCTCAAATGAATCAGCTTTCTTCCTGTCAGCTTTCTTCACTGTCCAGCTTTCACACCCATCCACAGTAATGGGGGATATTATGGTATGAATAATCTTGATCTTGGGCACCAGCAACATA